CACAGGTACATCGACCCATCCACCGGCTTTCGTACAATTGGGTCCCCTAGCCAGCCCGGCGGAGCCAACAACAACCACACGGCGTACCCGCACACGCTTTCGTCCAGCGGATCGCACATGTGGATAATGACCAAGGAATGTTACCATGTGATCACCAACAAGGGGTTCTGGCTTCAATTTCAGGCCTTCTCTGAAACAGGTGAAATCTCATCTTAAATACGTTTGCTGTTGGTCACAACATTTCGAACTCTGAGTGTCAAGTGCAAGATAATTTTTGTTCAAAGAAATGAGGTGGTGGGTAATGTGAGAGCAAGCTTCGTCCAGGTAAAACGAACTTTGATTGAATCCACGCGTGTGTTGCAGCTAACTGTTACACAATATTTCGGATGTTGCATCAGTTATATTAAATACTTGAACTTAAATGCAGAAACGAGCGTAGACACAACGAGCAAAGCCTCATAGTTATATGGCTGGGGACCCTATGGAAGCGTGTAATTCAAATTGCCATAAGATATTACACCTGCGTGTGTAGAACCCCCCCCCCCCTGCAGTGTAGGGTTACATTGCTAGATAATATTCTCTTTACAGGGTCGAGTATTCTCACAGTCTCAGGGATTTTATACCTTGAATGTTCTGTCAACGACGGAATAGCAAAAACGTGATCAGGAGAATCTTTGAAACTGTCCCATGCCTCGACAACAGCACTAAAGGTGCCACACACACACATATATTCCGGGTACATGGATTTGACCTATTAATTTGGACGTTTTTTAAATTGATCATGTTGAGTGATTTGATTTACCAAGTTGTGTTCTGACTGATTTAGCTCTGAGCCTTTGTTTCTTTGTTTCCGTTGGTATTTGACATTAGAAATCCATAGACCGTTTACTGTTTCGTTTCTTTTCCCAAACAGAATGTTCATCTAATCTTGTGCTGTGCGGGTCGGGAAGAACGTGTATCGAGTCATCAGCTCTCTGTGACGGAAAAGTGGATTGCCCCGAGTACGAAGATGAAGCTGGATGCGGTTGGTATTTCCTGAGTGGTGACTGCTCTATGTTCCGACACTCCTATGTTCCGACACACCTTTGTCCCGACAACTCGACCTATGTTCCACCACCCTTATCTTCGAAACCCCCATCTTCCGACAGCGCAACCTATGTTCCGACACCCCTATAGGTTCTGGCAACCTGCACATAAGATTGTGTTACTCCCTGTGAGGGTAAGGGTTAGAGTTAGAGTTAGGTTTAGGCTTATGGTTATGGTTTAATAGGGATAGGGATAAGGATACAAATTTGTGTAGTCGGAACAAAGGGGTGTCGGAACAAAGGGGTGTCGGACCATATGTTGAGTAGTCAGAACATCTGGATGTAGGAACACAGGTTGAGTTGTCAGAACATAGGGGTGTCGGAAAGTAGGGTGCCGGAATATAGAGGTGTAACCCTCCGGTGTAAGTTATTTATCGACCGGAGTAGGTGTACAAACGCAGGCTAAAAAACCTACAAACTTAAGCTGCATCGCTTTTGAGGGGGGGGGGTGGCTTATTTACCAGATCGTGACCCAATAATTCTGTTCTGGGACAGATTTAACAGGGGGACAAAATTACCGTACACACTGTCCTGTCAGTCAAAAGTGGTTCAGAAAGTTTGTCGTTTGGTAATAGTGGATAATTATGTGGTCATCCTATCTGAACAATCGGATCGGTTGTTCAAGTCAGTTGTTAAGTTGTACAATCGAATGGATGTCATTGGGTATTAATGCCAGTCGGCCATTTGATTGGTCTCTTGGTCAGTCAGTTGTTTGGTCTGTCTTCTGGATGGATAGTTTGTAAGTTGAACCTTGCAGCCGGCCGACCAATTTGTCCGGGTCTGAGTCTAGATTTAAAGTCATTTAAAACTCTCAAGCATGATTTACTAGGAACCATAACCTTCCTGGCAGATTCCAACACCATATGGGAAACTACACACATGCACACACACACACACACACACCAGACTTGTTTCACATACCTAGTGTGGACTTTCCTTTCTTTTCGTGTAGTTAAGGAACACCAGTGGAAAAACTCATTTTTCTCAAACTGTGAAAACTCTTACAACCCATTTTTTTTCAATTATTCCCTTTAGTGTTTCTCTTCATTCTGCTACAGATAAACCTAACCCAAAAATGCCTCTAAACCTGTTTTCCAGAAATGGGGAAACACTGTGTGGACGTGGGCAAGTCCACACTTCGTCGGTGCTACCTACATTATGTGGACGTCTTTTGTTCGGAAGTCCACACTGCGTATGTAAGACAAGCTCCCACGCACCCACCCACACCCATGCAGACTCACACACACAGACACACATTTCAGAGTTTGATCCAGGAGGTGTGTAAAAGTATGTCGATTTAGGTGTTATCGTACCCATCCTGACAGATTCCAACACAACATGCCGTTGGGGTTTGAATGGGTTGAGTTCTGTTGGAGTAGTTAAATATCATTTGGACTGGCAATCATACAAAAACTTGCCATCGATGTTTGCATTTTTTGTGTGCAGGGGACTGCAATCAAGACGAGTTCAAGTGTCCCTTTGGAGAAAAATGCATATCCATGAATTCAATCTGTGATGGTATAATCGACTGCGAGGAGGCCTCTGATGAAATGAGTTGCGGTAAGATCAGTATTGTTGTTGATAGATAAAGGAAGCAGAGTAGTCGGGTAAACAAAGTAACGCGGAGTGGCTTCAAAACAGTTTAAGCAGAAATTTAGTGATACAGAATTAACCTTTCTCTGAAAAAAAAAGTAGCTCATGACATTGCGGCTCCTTTTGTATCATTTGATAGTAATATGTATCTCTCTGAGATGAAATTTAATTGCATCTTCAATGAAACTTCCTCGTTTGATATTCAGATTAAGAGATGGGTATGTGCGCGTTTATAAAGGAATAAATGTGTATTTGGGAGATATTAGAAACTCTGTTTAAGACCGATCGGAGTCTGGATGGGTGATAATTACCCGAGGGTAATTATCAGCACTCAGACTCCAACCGGTATTGAACAAAGTGTTTAATACCGACCAAGATTTGTTCATTCCCATTCAAAAATATCTTTTCGGTCATTTTTTTTTGTTTTTGGCCCAAAAATCAAAGCAAAACTAGACGTTACTAACCTTTTTGTACAACAATTTTACTTCATGTTTTATGAAACAACCCTCTGACTGTAATTAGGAAAGTCCCTTTACAGCTCCTTACCTTATAAGGAGATTGGCATGGGCGTTGCACGTACTGTGCGATGTCGCGCAAAACGCAGCTGGGCTGGTGTAGTGTGAATTTTTGATTGTGAAATACTGATTCACTGGTAGTATTAACCTATTGCAGTAAAATCGCGTCAACGGAGCCAGTGAAATATTGTCAAATTAAATGATAGACAAATTAACCCTGAACGCGAAAAATCTGAGACAAACTTCTCGTTAAAAAAAACCATAGGTCAAGAGGCTGGGTCTTGCTCATTTAATCAGCAAATCTGTTCACGCGAAATAGACAACGACATTCGCCGTGGTCTATTACATAGTTTAAGACCGGCCACGTGACGGGCTCTCGACCAAGAGGAATGGGTAAACTGTGTTAGGTATTTATGAATGTACCTTTACTTTATGGTTTTTTTTCTCATTATGTAGGGCCATGCGGAGACCCGTACTTCAACCTCACCGACATATCGACGGTCACACTCACGTCCCCAGCCTGGCCGCACAACTACCCTGACAGCGTGGACTGTCCCTATTTGCTGCAAGCCACACCAGGCCACCGTGTCATGGTGACTTTCATGACCTTTGACACGGAGCAGGGCTACGACAAACTGTGGATCGGCAACGGGCTCACCCCAATGAAGGACGTCATTCTACAGCTCAGCGGGTAAAGTGATATGGCTTTGTCAACGTGATCATAGTCGTGTTCATCATAAGTCCGGCTGCAAGTTAATTAGTTCACGTATACTGTCACAAGTAACAGGGGCTGAACAATTCGGGCGGTTCACAATGTAGTGCGCCACCAAGTGTTTGCCATGGAGAGAAAATTTTTCAAGTTTACGGTCGACAAACATGGCCCATTTGAACGAGTGTCAGTAGACAACTTGATTTAATTTGTTATAGATTTGGGCAAAGCGTTCTGCCGCCTTACAAAAAAAACCCACCATATTGATCAAAAGAAAAGAAAAGGGCACATAAATAGGGGCCTACTCGAATCATACGCGTACGAAACTACTGGCAAGAAGAAAAAATTTCAAATGTCCCGCGCTGTGAATTTGTTGACCATGTACCACAATGCCTCGGGAAAAAAACCGAACTCTCCGTGGCAAACTCTTAGTGGCGCAAGGCATTGTGAGTCGCCCGAATTAAGGCGTTTTTGCCACAGTTTACTTAAACAGCTTATGTATTGACTTTGGATTGTGACAAGAACTGCGTGAACTTTGGTTGGGCTAAATTAATAACTGAACAATGCTCACAATGTTTCATCAGACGGTTTGGTTGTGAAAGGGAGGAGTGGTCATCGGCGCTATTGGATAGGTTGACAGGGACAAAATGATGTGTCAGCACAAGGTTAATATACCTTATTATGCTGCCACCAATTCAGTCGTGTTCCCTGTATCATATTATCACTGAATGATAATGATTTTATTTGTAAAAAGGAACCTGTTCATTTTCATTCAAGCATCGTTGATTTGAATGGGAAAACAATCGAGAGCCCGTAACATGATAATGCTCTGGTGGCTTCGGTGGTTCTTATCCTGTGTGCATTCAACCATTTTTCCGGCAAACTCTTTGACCGTGCACAGCAAGCACGTAATGATCCATTAGACTTGTTTAAGCATTTTTGTTGAGAAGGTGTTAAATTTCGATAACCTCGTGGATTGCTATTCGCCATTAGGTTATTGTGTTTGTGTAACCTGAGTGTACAATCAATTTTTACCATCTCGTTCCTTTTAACCACAGCAACGATTTTCCCTCGAGGGTTGCTTCGAAGGAGCATACGATGTATCTGATTTTTTCTTCAGACACGGTTTTCACGTATCCGGGATTTTCGCTGCGAGTTGAACAGGTTTCCCCTGACCAAGGTAAGATCTTGTTTCTTTGATATTTAAGCAATAACATTTGATAACAAAATATCAACTTATTATTCTCACACATTTCTCCCTACAGTTTCTTGTAATGCTGGGCAAACACCGTGCGACTACAAGGATTTCATATGCGTCAACGAGAACAGCGAAGGAGTATGTCCTGACCGTAAGTATTGCTCTGCTCACATGTGCTTCTTGATATGTGGATGTGGGAACGCCTCCCCTAGGCCTATATGCTCCCATTTTCACACTTGTCAAAGCACGCACCATTACGTGTCACGATTACGTTTGCGATTAGGCGTGGTGTTGTTTTGGGCGACATGAGATTAATGTAATTATGTGAAGAGTCAACTAAAATAGTGTATTTGAAGAGAATGACATTCTTAACTGTATCTTCCCCTCCAAACCAGGGTTTCTGATTATGATTTTGCTGTCTGGAAGTTAAGGAAATGACTTTTTTGGTTGGTATCTCCACAGTTGAATGCGACTCCGACGCTGTGACCTTCCTCGACGACGCTGTGATCGTCAAGTCGCCGGGCTATCCGCAGCCCTACCCGGCCGGCCTGTACTGCCGCTGGGACGTGCCCTCCCGCGGCCTGGCTCCAGCCACGCTGTTCCGTGTCCTGGACTTCTCCACCGAGGCAGGCGAGGATGTGGTCCAGGTCAGCGGGCTCACTTTCCCCGGGGGTGAACCGGCGGACTACACACTGGCGGGGACCACCACCAAGATTCGCGCCGTGGTGTTCAACGCCACGACCAGCGTGACAGTCCGATTTCAGACGGACTTTAACATCCAGCTGACCGGATTTCACTTCAACCTAATCAATGTCAATTTCACCGAATGGGAATCAGGTGATTGACATTGGATTGTTGCATGCATTGAACATCATAACACGAACAAAATAACTTTAATGTTTGGTTTTGTGTTAACGTTAAACATCCAGAAACCAATGTGTTTATCGATGTGATTAAATAAGTTAAATTGTTCGAAAATCTAATTCGATGTTGCTAAACCAAGCAGCAGTGAATCTGTCCCCTGATAACTGTTGAATGGAAAACAGTTCAACGTTCAGCATTTTGGAATAAGTTATCATAACGTCTTGCTTTTATTTTTCCTCTTCGTTTAAACATACATTCTGACGACGGTTTTAAAGAGTGCGAGCCAGTTAATGTTGTCATACCGAACATTATATTTAAGCCTATCCATTCGGCATCATTTCTCTTTTGCCAGAGATGATTCGGTTTTCAGAAGCATTGCCACGAATTTTGTAGGGAAAAATCACCCCAATTCTGTGCTCCCTATCAGCATCGTCACTTTGCTAAAAATTCGCTTTTTGTATTATGATTTCTTTTTTTCAAGAGACGCCTGAATCGAATTAGCATCGAAAGAACATACTTGAAGGAAGACTTAGTATTCACTAATACGTTTACTTGAAACTGTCTCACCTTATTGTATCTTCTTTATTGCAGATTGGTGCATCACTGACAAGCAGACGGGATTTATATGCGAAGGACTGTGTCTTGTAGCATCAGCTAAATGCGATGGATTCCTTGACTGCCTGAACGGAGAAGACGAGAACGAATGTGGTATTAAAGCTGTGGAAGCATCCAAACAGTTTACCAGCGTACAAATGTTACGAAATGTATACTCTGTTGTTGACTAATACCCTTCTGACTGTTACTCAGACAAAATATAATTCCCCCCAAAATAATTCGAACTAACCACGTTGGTTATTTCTAACCAGCTCAAACCACGGGGCCAAGGAGTGTATTAATACCCCCCCCCCGGGTAAAACAAACAACTATTTTAACTTTCGCATCACGTCAAGTATTAATTTCCATTACGTAATGGATGTCACGCATGCGTATTATGGTAAGTGACTTTACCTGGTTGCCACCCCCCCCCAAAAAAAAATAATCCCTGTAGTTTCAACGATACATTAAGAAATGTAGACAATTTGTTTTACAGCTGAGTACATTTGTACCATCGTTTGACTTTTTTTTCAGCTGAGGTGTACTGCCCATCGTCCTACCACTGCAGTCAAACAAAAACCTGCATTGTCTCCGAACAGCTTTGCGATGGTGAAATTCACTGTGAGCACGGAGACGATGAAGTTGAATGTGGTGAGGGTTAATTGTGAAAAGAGCGCGATATTAACTACATGTTTATCTACAGGCTAACTGCACACAAACCCGGAACAGCAGAAAAACAAATTACTTCTAAAAATAAATCCGTTCTGTACTTAAAGTTTAAAGAAGCAATTCCGACGACAGTTGGAAACATCATTCAAATTAAAACATAACGTCCACACTTACAATTGCAGTTTTTGCGTAATCATCACAAGAAGCAATTCAGAGAGAAAAAAATGTTGGCCCCTTTGAAAATCGAGCCGTTGGAGTGGCTCGTCTTTATTCCAGTCACACAATTTCGTCGCTTTAAACAAAGGTGCTCAAACTGTTGCGCGACTTTTTTTTGTTTTGTTTAAATGAGTGGGATACCTTTTAGACGCTTGGTGGCAGAAACACAGGAGTTTTTTTCAATTATTGGGAAATTGTTTGTCGCATGGGGAGGCTGTTCATTTTTACTGTAGGGGTACAGACCTGTAAATCGACTCCCGTAGACCTCAGTGATAATTACGCGTACTTCCAACAGTTACTAAAATACTCACAACTCGTGGTTGCTTCACCCATCAAATTAAAACTTATTTCATCTTTCATTTTCTGTTCAATTTTGCGTAGAAATCCGATACTTAAGGGCTACAATTCCATCCAAAGATGATCACCGCTAAAAGTAGTCCTGTGGCCCATCGCCATTTCGAGAAAAAAAAGATGACTGCGCTCCATTGCAAAATAGCAATTATTGTAGTGCCTAATTTTTCCGAAATCCACAGCAATTTGATCTCGCACTTCTGTGCAATGCTTCAACTCATCTGTTTTACAAACCTTCAAGTTCATGGTCAACAAAATGTCGTAAAGCAACGAAATGGAGAGCATACAAATCGTGATTTGGCCCGCATAGGCAACTTTGGGCATATATTTACAAGTCTGCTCCCGTAGACCCACATAGCGTAGCCGTTATCTGCAGAAGTGTAAACATGTTTAAGCAAATACGCAAAAAGTAACAGCGTAGCACTGACTAATATATTTACTTCGTCTTTGAGGGGCTGGGGTGCCTCCCCTTAAGACGCCTACGCATAAATACGCGTGGGAGCAGGAAACCGACATATGGAGAGGGTTGTCTTAGAAGATAATGCATTCAGGTCAGAGCGTCTCATTACCAGTTGTAAAGTACTTAACAAAAACGATGCGTTTTGAACGTTGCAGATGACAAGCGTTGTCCAACAAATTGTTCCTGTACGTATGTCAAAGACGATTTCCACGTTATTTGTTCGCGTGACTGGAAACCACATGATATTGCTGACATTGCGAGAATCACTGTGGCACTGTGAGTATAATCCAGCTAAAATGTTCTACTATGTGTCCTCATCTGGTCAAATCTCGTCTTGTCTCGCCAAATGTCGTCTTGTCTCATCTATTCTCGTCTAGTCTAGTCTATTCTCGTGTCGTATTGTCGCCTGTCTTCTTGCCTGGTATGTAGTCAGATCTCTTTTCATCTTGTCTTGTCTATTATCTTCACGTATCTCACACAACATTCAAAAAAAAAATATGGAAATATGGGAACATGCACGGCATCAACTTATTATATGCATTTAAAAGCCGCCACATTTTTAACTACATGTCATGAGGGCGGGTCCAGGTTTGAATTAAAGAGGGGACATAAGCTGCCACGAGGGGATTTTAGGAGGCATATGTTGTGTTTTTCTTCATGATTTCCCCCTTTTTTATGTGGCCGGAGCGGGTATAGATTCCCTTGCTCCCTTCCACGTTTATCCCAAACTGTATCCTTGCATGATGAATGTATTTGTTTTCATAGTAAATAACATTTGATACGATGCATTCTTTCATATAAATCGCTCAATTAAACCCATTGGAATTATTCATTGATATGTTGCACAATGTAGACGACCATATATAAACTGTCACTCAGCTTCGCAACACAAATGCTACATTAAACATTTGCCAACTCTATTGTTTGTATACATCAATATAGCCAGCTCACGGGGGCAACGAACCGCAGTTCTATTCAACTCTTACCGGGACTCTTCAAAGAGTTAAAGCTTCTTCGATCTCTGTAAGTAGAAGAGGCAAAAGAATCAGATGTTTCCTTTGGTGCGTGTACCGCGCGCGTGTTGCACATCGATCAATACTAAACAGAATGTATACATTTATGCTTGCCTATAAAGCTGTATCAATAGACAAAGACGGATAAGTTTGTCTAGAAGACCGGATAATCAATCAATTCTGTTGAATAATGCAAGTGGTAATACATTACGAAACCAACCCGATATTGAATAATCATGTTCCGCTTCGGTGGCGTTGCAATGTCTTTGTTATGGGGGGGGGGGTCGTGGAAAGGGCACTTGCACATCTGTGTCGAAAGTAGACAGATGTGTTTTTTTCGGTCACTTGGCCTCCGTAAAATAAAATAAAAAAGTGGGATGGGGGTGTATACCATCTTCCTATGGGAAAAGGGCACTTGTTATACAAACAGGCATTTTTTTTTTTTTTGGGGGGGCGGGGTTGTAACGCAGGTGACAAAATGCACTTGTACACAAAAGGGCAGTCTGTACAAAATATTTGGGGATAAGATCCGCCTAACCACCCCCCCCCCTTAGCCACAGCGCCTTTTATGCACAGTCATAGACCGCGAAAATCAAAGAAATGTTTTAATTTTGTAATCCTCAATGTTAAGTCCGTCTACTTTCAAATTCTATGCTGATTTGGAAATGGTAGATTGAAAAAGTACATCCAAACAATAAATGCATTTGCACAGGACAATAGTATAATCCTTGAAATATCGACTGTACTTAATCTTGTTTTATCGTTATATCAATATTCATTGAATAAAACTTAGTGGTACCACACTGTTTTTTTATTTCAAAGCTCTGTCCCTTATAATATGCTAAACGTGATCCCACCAGGAACCTTCTACGGCTTGGGGAATCTCACATATCTGTAAGTTACATTCTTGTTTCGGGTTAAATTTCCTTTGAATTAAGATTGTACTCCAGAAAAAAAAATAAGCTTATAATTACATAAGACCCGTAAGTCAATTTGCCAATAATGTTTAACTGTGAAGCAGTTGTCTTTACCCCCGGAGTTTAGGAAATTAAAACTGGCAATGTTTTATTCAGGGTGTGTGCCAATTAGGCGGGGGAAAAAGTAACGGACCGGTTGTGGACCTGAAGTCCCTTCAAAGAAACAAAAGTAAAAAAGTTGTTTAGTTTCAAAGTATTTCAGTAATGTAATAGTGGATTTGTAGCCTCGTTAAGTGCAGATGTTAGCCTTATACTGTTCAGTATGCCGTAGCCAAGGGCAAAGCCTTGGCTTTAGCCATTCGATGTCACTTTTGGAATTTTCTATTTTTCCCAGTGTTTATATGGTTCAAATTTAATTATTGTCTTCTGTATTAATCACACGTATTAATCGTGCTTCATACATGTTTTGTCTGTGTGACAGAAACATTTCTGGGAATGGCGTGACCGAGATAGTAGCCGACACATTCACTGAACTCCAGAATCTCGAGGCACTGTAAGTGAAATGAAAACTATAGTAGAGTACAATCATATACTTATCCAACCGTGACTCACCGAATTTGTGTCACATCTGATGGTCAGTCAAGGGCGGATCCAGGGGGGGGGGGGCAAAGGGGGCCATGGCAACCCAAAAAAAACGAAACCAATTTTTTTTTTATGTGACATCGCAATAAAGGCAGGCAATGAGTACACCACCATCTTTTCCTCAAAAAACATTGGTTAAAGTGGTCAGAAATTGCCTCAGATCGCACCACAAAGCATCTAGAATCCAAACATTTTTCGGGGCCCTTAAGCGGGCCCCGAACCCCACGCCGTAATTTTTTTTGACCCATTTTTGGGGGGGACCAAATTTTTTTGGCCCCCCCCCAAAAAAAAATTGTGTTCTGGATCCGCCCTTGTGGTCAGTCTCATACATATCTGGTTCAAGCAATTATGTGACCCGAAAATGTCTAAGGCTGCATACCAAAAGGAAGAAATTGTTGGACGTAGGCCGAGGTCCAAGTAAAGGGATCAGTTTGGGGTCAGTATGACCCCCGATGCGGCAACATTTGGACCTTGAAACTGGTCACATCCGATCCGGTTTTTTTTAGAGTGAATGTTGCCGAACGATGTAGATCTGCCCATTCGTTTGCTTTTGGGCGATTTAATTCACAAGCTTGTCATGGCCTGTTCTTCTTCTTCTTCTTCATTCATTCATTTTCATGATGGCTTGATGAGTTGGGCCCAAATGTCCCTGTCGAGCATAGTGTTGGAAAGAGATGGACCACTCAGACCAGTTTCTAGCTCAATTGATGTTTTCAGGGTCATGTTGGGACGACCTTTTCGAGGGGCTTCAGGATTCCAGAGGAGAACTTGACTAGCTGGCTCATTATGTCGATAAACGTGACCGGCTAGCCGAAGGCGACGCTGTCTGATGGTGGTGGAGATAGGGGGAAGGGCATATACAGAACAGAGTTAGGGAGATGTTGTCGCCAAGAAACGTTCTGTACAGCCCGCAACATCCGTGTATAGGTGCCATCAATGGATGCAGAGATCTGTTTGGTCAGGGTCCAGGACTCGCAACCGTAGAGGAGGATGGATTCTACTGAGGTCTTGAAGATCTTAAGTTTGGTGGTCTTGGAGATCGAGGATCTGCTTGTGTAAAATACCATATCCAATAATATGGAGATTTAAATTTGGAAAATTAAATAAGAGATTCCCATTTCTTTCCCATGTAGGATTATTACCGATGTACCAGCATTGAGAATCGTGGCTACGAATGCATTTGCTGGTCTTCACAAGATGAAAACTTTGTAAGCGTATATTTCTTTGCTGGTGATGTTTTTATTAACCCTCCCCGCAGGAATCAAACTGTAAAATACAGTTTTTTTGTGCTTAATTTCTTCAATTGTGATGCGATAATTTTAAATGAGTCGTTTGTCGACCTGGTCATTTATTTTTTAACAGATTTGAAAAGAGCACAATCTCAGCATTACTGATAAGCAAACCGATATTGATACCATCTTTAATTATAACAAATATGGAATTCGGAACACTAAAAGATGCGATGAAGTGATGTGACGAAGTGGCATATTTTCGCCTGAATCTCCAAATCAAAGTACTCGACAAACGACTCATTTAGCTTGATCGCATCACAATTACTCCAGCATTTGTTGATTCCCACTTCAAACATAACAAAAAAGCGGAGAGATCCCATTTACCCGAGTTGAACTATTCACCTTTAAAACCCTACCCAAATACCATCCCTTCTGACAAGAACAACGTGTTTGTGTAATAAAAACCTTAGTGTGATCTAGCCAGCTTCGCCTCAGGGCATGGATAATCAAACGCCATGTCAATAACACTTGTCAGCAACGTCTCAAATGGCGGCTTTCTGAAGTCGTCTAACCACTATACATATGACTACATTTGATTGCCGGACAGCAAATAACTGGTTAATTTGGACCATATTATACCCATAATGTGTACTACAAACTGCAGTACGAACGTAAAGCCGTGCATGGATGATGTCATACTAACGCCGAGGGATTCAGGTATTTTCCATAATTAGGTCTTATCATTGTTTATGATCACAGCGTCTACAATAAATCGTTCTAGTCGCTCCTGACTATTCACAATGTTATGGACACTGTGTATCGGCAGTGAAGAATGCCATGTATTGTTCATTATAATTCGATACGTTGTTATGATTTCCGCAGGGTACTGGTTCGAGACGCAGCCGAAAATGACCCACTAGATGCGAAATACGGAGCCTTTTCCTCTCTCCCTGCTTCTACAAAAGCGTAATATATTGCTTATTTAGAAAAAAAATAATAACACTTGTTTTATGAGTAGAAAGATACCTTACTTTCCAACTTTGAAGGTTGGATGTTTTCTAAAGTTTGCTTCCCCTGTTTTTCTTTCCAGTGTTGTTGATGACTACAGACTTTGCTGCAATCTTTTGAGAGATATTCCAGGCTTCAAAATCAGCAACTGTCATACCACACAGTCACAGCCCCCGCTCAACCTCTGCGGTTCCCTCATGCAGAACTACGGACTGCGCGTGTGCATGTGGGTCCTTGGGATTAGCGCCCTCTTTGGCAACTTCGGGGTTATTGTTTGGCGGCTTCGGCACAGGGGGGAGGGGAACCCCGGCAAGAAAATCCACTCATTCCTGGTGCTTAATCTTTCCGTATCGGACTTCATCATGGGGGCATACATGTTGATGATAGCTGCTGCCGACATCCACTATGGGGAGCGATACTCCAGTGAAGCGGCGCACTGGCGGTCCAGCGCGCCGTGTAAGGTGGCTGGGGTTCTGTCAGTTCTGTCTAGTGAGGCCTCGGTGTTCTTCGTCACACTGATCAGTCTTGACTGCCTCCTCTGCATAGTGTTCCCCTTCAGCAGACTCCGGCTCCGTGAGACGTCTGCCCATGTGGTTGTCATCGGTGGTTGGTTTGTGGCTCTCTGCTTTAGCATCGTACCAACTCTAGTCGTGGACTCCAACTCGGACGTCTACGGTCTGTCAGACGTTTGCATCGGGCTGCCCCTCACCACCAAAGCGGCAGGAGTCCAGCTGGAGCCCAGCGATGTCGACAATCCGTTCGGGGACGCTGGCGCCTTGCAGATTGTTTCGTCGACCGGCCAGAAGCCAGCCTGGATCCTGTCCATCGTGTTGTTTCTCGGCGTCAATTTGTGCTGTTTCCTGGTCGTCCTCGTCTGTTACATCGCCATTTTCGTCAAGGTTAAGCGATCCGCTCGCAAGGTCAAGAAGAACTCGCACCGGGACCGCGATATCAAGATGGCTGTCAAGATGGCACTGATCGTCGGTACGGATTTTGCCTGCTGGATGCCCGTCATTATTCTTGGTATCCTGTCTCAGACCGGGGCGGTGCAGGTCGGTGCTGAGGTCTACTCCTGGATCGTGGTCCTTGTCCTACCCATTAACTCCTCCCTCAACCCGTACCTGTACACGATCTATTCCTCTGCCATGGCCAAGCGCAGCGCGCAGCCGAGTATCGAAAAGTCGAGTAATAAAGTTTTGAAACCCAAAACTGGGTCAATCGAAACAGTGAACTCCTCCTTGTCAGATAGCAAGCCTATTTGATTGACAAGGGTAGGCACAGGCAAGAACTAACAATCGTCCTACGTTCATAAGCCAGACAGTGAAAAAAAAAACAGCCGAAAGCCATACGGCTTATGTACGAAGCAAAAAACCTGTAGGGAAGGAATTAAGGTTTTGCTGTACGCTTTGGAGGCTTTGTTGGGTAGCGGCATCAGGAAATCTCTCCAGGTTGGACGTATCGTGAACTTACAACATTTTTAGACGACTAGGAAAATTAAGCAATGGTTAATATGCCCACGGATACTTAAGGTATATCAGAGTGAGTTTAAAAAAACAATACTCGTGAATACAGGTTAATGATGTTATATACATGCAGTGCAGGAGCGAACTGCTTGCTGAGAATTGGCACCACGTGACCACATTATCAATTTCGTAAAATAGTCATATCGTTTTTATGCGAATTTGTTAAGCTTAAGAAAGAACAGCACCATTTGTGTCAATATTTGGTTTGCCATCCAACGACTATTTCCTTCCGAGTGAACGTTTGAAGAAAAAAATTCACCCGGATAGGACTTGATTTTCTTGTTCAAACGTCCATTTGGGAGGTAAAACCCTGAGTATACAGTGTTTATACGTCGGTGAAGGGCAACTACCTAACATTGCTTTACATTATCCTGTCGCAAATTCAACTTGTAAATAATATCATGTTTGTGTCAATAATGAAAGAACAAAATGCACCTTAATAGCAGCGTTAAACGTGCAGTGTGTCACATTTGAGAAAATCAATGATCTTGAATTGCAGCACCTGTTTAGTAGGCACGTTAGCTCGTATCTAATTCACATGAAAATGTTTACATATTAAGCAACATTTCAAGTACTTAATTGATGAAATCGCATAGTAAATAAGATACTTTTACTTCTAAACGCAATTTAGCTTTTGCAAAATTGTTAAAAAATATTAAAAGCTTGCACAACCACCAATGCACATAATTTTTTTTGGCACGTTTCCACGTTTATCTTTCAAAGACACAAGAACCTTGCATGAAATAACATAAAATAATATATTTATTGTCATGTTCATTGTCATGAGTTGAGCTCAAATGTATAACGTCACAAATGAAATTGTGCTTACAGAGTTATCTTTTTAAACTGATCACTTAAATAAAAAAATATCTGGAATAAAACGTTTTACTTCTCCGTTATGCAAAGAAAGCTCTGAGATAAAGGAACATAATTTTAGAAATAATGTAATTTGAACATAAATGTATCATTTTGTAAGCATTACCACTAATAAAAAAAAGATGATCTGGAAAAAAAAACATTTTACTTTACCGTAATCTAAAAAAAGTACCAATATTAAAGAACTTTTTTAATGGTGTTTTGGTCGTTAACATGTGAATTGTGAAAAGTTGATTCACTATCCTGTAGTTAGTACATACATTGTATATTTAGCTGTATAATTTAGTTTAAGTTCAGAAGATTCGCTCCAAAGGTTTACCGTGGAAGGGGGACGTCTGTAAACAAGCTTCTCCATCGAGCATACGTGGACTGTGAAGCTGGGGTTGTCTAAACTGTACTTGATCCGAAATGCCGAAACCAAACATTAAAAAGTGAATAGTCAATACCGATTTGGGTATCTTTGACTCTTTCGTCAAATGCAAAATGGAAATTAATTGACAAAGAACTAATTTCTAGAGAAAGGTTGAATAGTGTGTAACACAGTGTTTTGTCGACCTGTCGAATCCTGAACGTCTATAGCATGAACATTTTATTCAGAAAAAAATCTGTACTTTTGCATTGCATATCATAAAACAAGACTAGTATTGCGAAAAGTCGCTCTGCATGTATACACAATTCTGGGTTTAACCTGTAGTCTCAATCCAAAGTTGTATTATGGAGTTATACAAAGTGCTGTAGTCGAGTCAACCCCCATCAAAGTCCGAGTCCCAGTCTGAGTCCGAGTCATGGGTATCGGAGTCCGGGTTCGAGTCCGGGTCCGGGTCCGAGTCCGAGTCCGCTGTTCTTGGTATCCGAGTCCGTGTCCGAGAACAAAAGTAAGTTCAACCAGAACTATTTCACCAGCCGCAACTGCGTTCGTTGCTTGTTCGTTAAACATTTGAATTACAATGACTGTCAATACTTGGCTTTCTGTTTTTCGTCATCATCCAATAACCCCCTTTTGACTGACACGCACAGAGTAAACATAAATAAAAGTACACGTAGGCTCTATCAAATCTGTGTTTATATATGTGGCGATTCATAATAATTTGAAAATCATCAAAACGTATTTTGTCACCCCGTGCTTAGGCACGCCATAGGCCTACTTTTTGGATGGGAATGTATACATTGCGTGGCAAATGTATACATTGGGGCCTATATGACACAGCGCACAAAAGCCAGTGCATGCTACAGACGCAGGGAGATAACGTTGTTTTTATGTACTAACTATTATTAAAGTAATAGATGATAACTTGTCTTTTGGCTGAGCCTAGCATAGCCAGACATACCTAGTCTGCGACGTGTAGACCAGTTCGAGGGCTTTCTCTCCAAGCTGTGAGCTGTGCTATTTTGTGTATCCTTAAATAACCGAAGCCAAAGGCACTGGGGTAGGTTTATCTGTATAATGTATTATTTAATAATATTTATAAATCAGACCGTCTACTTTGTTAGAAACTTAATTGTCACCTCACTTATCGTAATTTTTCAGGGTTTTTACTTCTACTGAAAGAAGTCTTGTCTTCTTCGCGATAATAAAACTAGATAAGAGATAGATCCGAAGCTTGTTATTTGTCATGTCATCTGTTGAATAAAACAACGGCGATGCCTGCCGACGAGGCGACCCTTGATATGTGGCTGACCAGCTACCACATATATTTCGCTTTACATGGCAAATATATTTCTTTCACTTCGAATAGACCAATTCAGTAACTACCCACATGGTCAACTTACACGTGTTCAACTCCAATGTAATCCGGTTCGTTAATGTGACGTCACTTCAGTTTAAACCACGCCAATTAAGTAGCATGCATATTTAAGTAGCATTGACACCATTGGAACCGGAAGTTAACGCAACTTGAGTGTTTATCCAATTGGCGCTGGTAATCAATGGTGGGCGCTCGTGTTTGACGAAGACACTAACGAACTGGATACTGTATGGACACTAATCAGGGCTGTGATTGGTCAGAACACTGATCGGTCTGTTAAGAGGGAAAACTGTACCTTATCCCTGAAAGGGCCGGGGCGGAATCCGCCCCCCTTAATGTTTTCCGCGATAGCCTTGATATGTATTTTTTCGCGACCTGTCATGACTTTTTAATAGGCTCGAGCCTTGCACATCTTTTGATAACAAAAACATAAAATCGGACCACGGGTTGCCGCGCAATGAAAAACAAACTCCGGTGAAAATTGAATTTTCCCATATACGTTGTGTACACAGAGCAAAATTACCATTCTTACATATGAATAATTAATAAGCCATCATTCTTAAACCCTTTGACCTATTGTCATAACATTTCTTGGGTATGTTCATGATGGATTGTTCTATGCATGTACCGAGTTTCAACATGTTTTGTCACTCGATGGCCGAGATATGGTCAAACCCCCGGCTGAGAGATTGTGTTTTAATCTTCAGTTTTCTCCCTAGCATGTGAAACCTTCAGTTTATATTTCCCGGCTTTAATTGTAAAGCGAAAGACAAGTATTACAAATAGTACAAAAAATATTCAATTAAATTCAATTCAATCGCACATTTATTTCCATACCAAAGGAGAAATATAAGCAGAGAATACACGAAAAAGGTAAATGAAATTGTCAGAAGGTGTTATATGTTTTATAGGTATGGAGGAATCCTCCAGAAGATTAGGCTTGTGGCGAAATGCCTTGGACGGACGGACACAGCACAGAGACAAGAACGAGCACACACGAACAGTCGGACGAAATCAGAACATAAGCATGAAGCTTTAAGAATAAACTAAACAGTAAGAATTGAAAATTGAAAAAAATGCTGAAAAACTAAATGAGAAGCAAGCTATGTCAGATTTATGGAGATGAGAGCTCTTTTACAGGCATGTTTGAATAAACACACACGGATTGAAGAGATTTAATAGATTCGTCAATGGCAATCCAGAGACGAGACCCCGCAGAAACGTAGTGGGTTTTTAATGAGTATGATGTACGTGTTCTACATAACCCCCGAGGACGGACATTCATAGGGAGAACAACATAGCATTTCATTCCTCGGGAATTTTTCGTTGGAAACGGTCCTCTATAGTAAGTTTATATGTCAAAGAGGGCGCCCAAGCGACGTCTTCTAGCCCGCCAAGGTAAGATGTTATATGCGAGTTCAAAATGTCTGTCAACAGGGACAACTATCCATGATTTATGCCCTTGGTCCAGGGAATTCCCCCAAATACCTCCTCCAGTATAAAACAGAACGCTATTTTATTTTTTATGTTTTTAACTGCAGAACACAAACAAATACATATTGTTTCAAAATACAAAGTTGTGCTTCATTTGTATGCGTCTTGGTTGATGTGGTGTATTTTCCTCAATTTATTAACAAAAAATCTTCATCGAGGCGTTTACTTTGTTTTCAATCTAGGTTGCGATGCAACCCAGTTTACCTGCAACGATGGATTATGGATTCCCGGTTCGTAGCAGTGTGATGGCTACCCTTCGTGCAGTAATGGGGAAGACGATTTGGGCTGCAGTAAGTCTAATAGTACCTAATGGTACCTTACGTAGACCCTTTTATGGTAAACTATTCGCTGAGATACTGGAAAATAAGTACATCTCCTTAAAAATAAGGCAACCGTTTCTTGAATGGATTATAATGTCAAAAGTTGCCTGAAACGGTCCTTAGTTTGAGAAAACATGTAAAAAAAGGTTTTGTCTGGGATGGCTTTTTAGAATTAGTTCGACAGGGTTTTTATTTATGCACAAGTCTTTGGGAATATCTCAACAAGGTACTGCTTCGTAGTAGTATTGTTATTCGTGGCTTATTTGATGAAACCTTTTTGTGGCCAAAAGGCAGAATTTACAAATATAGCTTAATTGCTTTCATACATTAAAACAAAGCGAATTAAAAATGCATTAAATAAATAGAAAACTGATATGAAATGACAGGTAGATATACTTTTCTTTGGAAAGGTCAAAAATTAGATGATGCATTAAATTAAATGATTTAATTAACTTAGAAGATTGGCATCATCTTCAGAATACTTGCCAACAAGTCACGAAACGAACACGCAGCACCTTCCATTGAAGGAAATTATCATAGTTTGAAACATCAACTATATTTCTTATCACTAAATGCAAATTAGTTTTAAAAAAAATCGAATCTGCCCCCATATTGCTCTTTAAAAAGAGTGGGAGATTATTCAATCTAATAAAGTTGTGTTTTTCTTTCACTTTGTGACATAGGTATTGAGAAACAGACACTCTAAAAGGTGCACCACAGCCAACATGACAATAGCGAGTTAAGTGCTTGCAAGATGTGCGCCCTGGTGAATACAAACGGATCGCATACACAATGCTTTCAGCTGAAAAAATGGAGTGATTTGTTTTTCATCTATTGCAAGATTCATCGTCTAAAGTCACGATGCCATTAGCTAATGTTAATGCCATTGTTAATGCCCTTATATTATTATTCAATAAAATTTTCCTCCACACTCTGTGTTTTATTTAAGATGTAAATAGGTCCTCTTTTAAATGCAAGATTAAACGAACAAGACTCTCAAATGATCACGTTGTTGTTCTGTGCAAGCTTAAAGAATTGTGAACTCTTAATGCAATAAAACCCATTTCAGTTTCACTCCACCTAGTGCACCTGTTACCAAATGAATTGAACGGATCGACTGAGCAGAATATCTCACTAGGCCTAAGCATTTTTTTCGTGAGGGAGTCCTTTTTTTGGTATTATGGTTCTCTTATTAGTTTGTTCCTAATCAGGATCAGTTGGTCAGGATGCAATAAACATCTAAAGAAAAATAATGATGCCAAGTACGGATTGTGCCTCGTTTTGTTCTTTGGCAATCTTGATTTGATTTCACTGAACAAAATAACAAAGCCACGTTTGGTAACATCTTGTTGTCTTGCACTTTATCTAATTATACAACAGGTGAACTATAAACTGCTCATGTGATGAGAAGCAGCACATTCGCATCTACTTGGACTAAATCGGATGCTATCTGCGCCGTGCTTCGGATTTTATTGATCATATCTTTTCAAACAGCACGAAGCATGATTGCCAAATTATATTTTCATCTTAACAAAAAAATAATGATTGTTTTTGTTTGTTGGGGATCAAAACACGCTCTGTGGTAATATTGTTTTCTTGGGTAGGGCGACCATATAGGATATGACAACTAAAGAATCAAGCCCGGGGCACACTTTTCCTGTTTTACCTGTTCACCGGATCATTGGGCCATCGTACAGCCGTGTGCGCTGAAAATTCGGACTGATATGATCGTACACTAGTCTGTGGAATTTCCCCTCGTACAGCTGCCGCAAGGGTCTATTATATGTGAGGAGATTCGGAGAGTCGCTGCGCACAACAAGAATGCGTCTTGACGTCGATATTCTGACCATGGGGGGGGGGTGGAGGCCTTTTATATCGGATTTTTGGTAT